CCCCTCCCACAGCCGGCTCAGGCCGCAGCTAGGACAGTTCCTGCTGCCCGCTGGTATAATCGATAGCGGCTGCACGGCCAGATGATCGCACGCAGCCCACGCGCTTGGCACAGAAACAAGCGTTTTTCTGGGAAAAACGGGGGGTGCGAGGACAGGATAGAAGTGCCCCCGCTATCTGCGGGCAGCCATCCCCGCTCTCGGTATCTCCTCCTGGATACGGGCCCTCCTCTGGGGGGACGGCCGGGAGGAGACTCCCCAGCGCCGTGTTCAGCCCGATATTTCGTCTCCCCCCCTCCACGGCGAGAGCGGTCCCGCTCTGGCCTTTTAATCTCCCTTTGGAAAACAACCCGGGGACGGTGAGTACAATCGTTTCATCCCCGCTAGAAGCGGGGAAAGGCAGCAGCCGGTGCTCGCAGAGCGGGCTTGGGCTGGGTAAGAGGGGAGGGACTGAAGCACCTCGGCGCGCAGAGGAGAATCAAACCCCTACAAGCATTTCCTCCGCTCCAGTTAGCGCCGTAACCGATTTTCCAATCCCTATTTGGGAGGCACAGCACGCATCCACCCTTAGGTAGCAGGAAGACGCTCAAGAATTTGTCTTTCTGAGAAACCTTTTATTTGGCACAATCAATGCTAGCGTTTTTCAGAGCGAAACCATTCCTTCCTCCCCCTACTGAGAAAAGCCTCGAGTACAGGCTTCTGCCGCGCTCGCGCCGCACAAAGCTGCGCTCGGAGGCAGGGCCCGCCGCGATGCAAGGAAATTTAGTTCTTCTGAGTAACACGTGGGTGTGGAAAGCCCAGCCTCTGGATTCACAGCAGCCTGCTGCAAACTTTTTGTTACCAGAAGCGGACTGACCACAAAACTTTCATTGAGAAGGCCTCGGTAAACAGCCGGATCAAAGGCTGAAATGCCCCGATTTCCGGGGCCGGGGCTGCCGTCGGGGCCGGGGTTACGAGCAGCAGCTGCACCTCGGAGGTCTGAGCACTGTTCCTACGCTGGAGCTTTGCCAGAGGCTTTCACGGAAGCAGGGTCAGGAGCTGAACCGGGAACCCCGCAGCGTGGGGACAGATCATCTCGTTTCCCCACGCACGACTGCCTTTAGCAAAGAACCAGACAATCCTGTTAAGGCCTCACAGAAGCCCTGGGGGGCGGGGGGGGGTTAAAAAAAAAATCCAGCGGCACTTGGAGCAAGATATTCCGCTTTCGTGCCCTTTAAACAAAACCATCCTATCATCACCTTTGCCCCCCTTTCAGGGAGCGCGAGTGACAGTGAGAAGCAGGGAACCTTTTGCTTTCTCCTTACCCAACCGGTCCGTCCCAGCAGCCTAATTCTCCATCTGGCTCACTGCTTCGTCCCGGCCCTCCGGAGAGTTTGCTGGCTGAGGGGTAGACAAGTGTTCCAGCTCGTAATGTCCGTTCCTCGCAGCCGCCGCGCTGCTCGGGTGACCCTTTTCCGCTGCCAGCTTTTTACTCTTCTTGCTCTCAATGATCTGCTGGAGCTGACGCCCAGCATAGTCTGGTTTGGCCGTGAGCACGGTAGCGGGCATGGCGAGCCCGAGGATTTCGGGTACCATGTAGGGCCGGAGCCAGCCCACCAGCGGGGTGCTGCCGGGGGTATAGTGGGTTTGCTTGTGATAGAAGAGAAGTCCGTCGACCTGTTAAAAAAAAGGAGAGAGGAGCGAACGAAAGGCCGGAGCTGGAGGCTTTTGCAGGTGGATGACAGAGCGCCAGGCGACAGCGCCGCTCTCCATTTACAGGCCAAAACTACCAGCTGGATCATTTTTCCCCTCAAGCAGCGCAATAAATAGCGGAAGGGAAAGAAGCAGCCTGCAGAGCTCCTGTCCTGAAAGATCAGTGCAAGCCCAGCAACTGCCGGATGGCTTTAAATCGTCAAAGGCAAACAATTTCAGCCTGGTGTCGGCACGGACCAGCGCTTTTCCTCTAGTTGCTATGATCCCATTCTGCAGAAGAGCCATCGGGTTTCCGAATAAGGCAGCGCACAGAAAGGCCGCTTTACCGGATTAAGGTTATTTTAAATAATACATTGGGAGAGTAATTAGTCAGAGCGCACGACGCCAAGGAGCCCCGATTCGTAACGCTGCGACAGCTCTTTCAGCCGGCTTATGCAAAATAAATTCTTCATGTTTCCCAAGAGAGAACTTCTCCGGCAATCAATGGCAGTTAAGGGCACTCAGGACTTCGAAGGTTTAGGCCCCAACTCTTGCGCTACTATTTCCACACTCTGCAGTATTGCAGCTGGCTGACGTTTTCCCCGCTTCCCCGCCACGCTGAGGGATTTTCACCCCCCTCTTCCTGCGCTTCCCAGGGGTGTACTCTGCACGGTTAGATCCCGCCGTCAGGCTGACTAACGCCGGAGGTGGTGCTCCTCTTAGCTCAGCCTCGCAAGCTCTTAAAAAGCCATTTGCCTACGAGTAAGAGCGGCTGAGTGGGCAGAAGGGATGAGAGAAAGAGCCCACCTCGGGCCGAGTTGCTCCCAGGCCTCTCCCTGAGCCTTCAGCCCCCAGAATATATAGGGCAGAACGGCACCTATATAGGCAGTGAGCCGAGGCACGGGTAAGCCAAGCAGATCGAGGTGGTATCTGCTACCGTGCTGGACTGCGAGCCAGGCTGAGCAAAGAGCAGCCTACGTCCGTCTCCGCTCCATGGATGCTAGCCTCCAGCAGAGAGGGTAGAGCTTCTTGCACTACTCCATCCATAATTTTCAGTCACTGTTAAGATTTTGCAAAACAATCCCAGAAAAAGGGGGATTCCTGTGCTAGGAAAACATAAAACCAGAACAGTAAACATCACGATGAGCTTGTGTAACCCTCTGGATATCTAAAGTGCAAAGCTTCTCCCTCCCCCTGCCTCCCGGGAAGACTTGGGAAGAGCCAGATTCTGCGGCACCCCGGCACCACGCCTGCACATCCAGCCCATTCCTGCGGGTGTGCGGCGCTTGGTGAGCAACGGGGATTCTCCGGCACCCACAGGAATGTTTTGGTAAAGATCAGAGCCTGGAAAGGCTTCTGCCTTCCAGACCGCCCCAAAGATCTCCCCCGAGCTGGAGAATTCAAAGGAGTTCAGCCTGGTGGAGAGTTAGGTCACGTTCTTCCTTCCCCTGATTTCTCTTAAGTTACTGCAACTCCCGTTTATTTAGTTTGTTGGCCGGGTCCCTACCCCGAGTCACCGCGCTGACACCAGCCGCATCAGAGTAAGGGCTGACACTGTCCCTAAACGACCGAACCTGACGAGAAACCGGCCCGGTTGGATTTCACGTTCCACGGCCATGCCTTTCAGATTTTAGGTGCTTAACAGTACGCCCACTCCTTCACACCGGGGCTTCTCAGAGACTTTGGCTCCCCCTGCCTTCGTGGAAACCTGAACGCTGCTTTACTCACATCTGCGAGTAGGACAGTAGCTCCTAAGATCCACTCCAAAACACACTTCAAATTCAGTGCCAGTCAACTGATCCAAAGTCCACTGAATTCAGTGGAAGAAAATTTCCGCTGAATATAGCGGATCGGGTCCTAACTCTAAGGTTACAGATTAACTCTGAAGACCCAGATCTGAAAGCACTGACCACATCTCTTGCCACCACACACACACGAGATCCTCGTAAGGATCACAAGACGCTGGGCCCAGGCATAGGGAGACCTCTGTTGCACTGCACGATCTATAGCAAGGCTGCGTTTTGCCGTCTGCAAAGTTTCTTTCTTTATGTGCTGTTGGTGGAAGCTATTTACGGGGATTTCTTGGGCTCCCTCTTGTGGCACATCACGAAGAGACCCCCTGTCCCCTTCATTCCTGGAAGTGGCACCACCGTTTCTGCGGGGTCACTGGCCGCTTTGAGCCAAATCACACCACGTTTCACTTGTCGGGGTCGCACCCCGATGTATCGACCAGAGAACCCCGGGGGGCAAATCACAGCTGGATTACAAGGGAGAGTCTGATCAACTCCATCTCCCTCCCCCGGCCTTTCGCAACGGTCTCCTTCGCAGGCCGAAACATTTCTGCTCTGACCGCAGTAGGGCAATACTCCTCAGCCTTTTCTCGTGGGAGCAGATGCCTCAGGAAAGAATGAAGCTTTCTTCAGCAGAGGCGGGAATGACTGTTTCTACAGAGGCACTCGGAGCATTTGTGATTGAGCAAGTCAGCCGTAGGAAACCTGGGATGCTTTCTCAACGCCCCCCGATCCGTGTTCGGAGCGTGGTCTGGCACTGACTAGCAAGGGGCTGGGACTTTCCGACTCTCTCTAATGACTATCCTGGCTTTGACAAGCAGAAGACAAAGTCTCACAGCCAAATTAGCGTCCCTTAAACTTAAACCTGCGCTTACGTTAATCGCCAGCTTGGGCCGAGAGAGCACAAGGGGCACAGTCAAACCAAGGTGGCTTTTGGCTTAGTGGGACAAGCGACCTCTGTAGAGGCTGTTCCTGGTCTAGGGCTGAGGCTGAGCACTCCGCAGGAACTGCTGCGGCCACTGGAAGAGCTTCTGGCTCCCAGATGTTTGTCACCGACGCTGTGCCAGAATGCCACCACCATCCTCTTCCACTTCAGTGCCAAGTCAGCCAGGATAGCCACCGAAGGCAGCCTGAGCTGTTTTCACAAGGGCCTCTGACTTGCTGCTCACAACCACAGAGAGCTGAGCTGGGTGGGTGGCACGTCGAGTCCCCTGTCCTGCCTTTCTCCCACAGGTCAGCAGAGAGGCCTGAACAGCACCTACTTCTAAAGCTGCTGAAGCAAATGCAGGTGTCCTGTTCAGCCACTCTCGCTGGGAGAACAGCCACCTCGGAGACCCAGGAGCAGCAGGAGCCAAAGGGAGGAAGCTGCTGGTTCTGTACCAAAGCAAAAAGCAGAGCTCGCACTATCCCCTCCACAAGATCCAGTGGCAGCAGGAGGACAGACTCATCTGAACCCCTCCCAGCCATTTCCGCTACAGCCATCCGCCCCCAGCTCCGGTACGCCTCAGGCGCCCATCACTAACACCCGAACCCCTCAGAAACCGTCAGGAGCTTACCAGCACCCTTCTCTTTCCTCCCCAGAAGACACAGGGTAGCTGGGTGCCTCGCACATAGACAGACGGAAGTAGCTAGACTAAGGAAACACAGAGCCCGTGACAGAGGTCAGAGAAAGGCACCACCCTGCCCACCTCGCAGACCTCTGGAGAAACGCCACCACGTAAGGGAGCACACTGCAGAGATCTTCACGCCTGTACCCACGCAACCCCCTCCCCGGGGCAGGAGGCAGTACCAGCTTTGGCCCTAGAACGGTCAGCTGTCCACGCTGAGCCACGTGAACGTGAGCTATGCCGCTTCTGGAGGCGGTCTGGGTGTCCGCATCAACCCTCCCCTTGGGGAAGAGTCAACAGCAGTAAAGGCAGCCCAAACACAGGGAACGCTACGGTTTAACTCTCGCTAGTGAGTTTGGTTGGACGCAGCCTGTACCCGGTGACAGGGTAACAGATCAGCCACGTGCATAAAAGGCAGCCATCCCCCCCCCCCAGAAACGACAGCGCAGCTCAGCAAGCTTCCCGCAGGCCTCAGGAGAGCACAGTTCCCAAACGAAGGGGCTGCACCTCCCTCCAAGCACTGGCAGATGCGCAGCGGGGCTGTCTCTAAGGCTGAGGTCCGGGCCCCCGCCTGCGTGTTCTCACCTCGAAGGGGAAGTCCATAGCCAGCACCTTACACAGGCTGTCCGAGGAGCAGGGGAAGTTCTGCAGGCCCACAAATTTGAACTGGAAGAGTAAAAGAAGGTTAGAAGAGACAACTGCATGGCCTGAAGCAGAACAAGTCACCGAATCGAGCACTGGTGTGGAGGTAGCTAAGAAAGAAGGATTTCCCCCAGCGCAAGATCCAGCATGATAGAGACGGGGTGAGGGACAGGCGTCAGGTGAAGTAACCAGAGAAGAGATCTCAATCAGGGACCACATCATTAAACTGCTGGCCTTCCTGCCGCAGGGTATCGGGGGCCCAAAAGCAAAAATAGGCTGAGAAGAGGATTAGGCCAGCTCCTGGAAGGCAGGTGCCCTGGAGGCCATTAACTCCGTGGTCTAGGTACAACCGCTGGCTGATGAAGTCAGAGGGAGCATGACAGGTATCCCCAATTCCTTACTCTTTCCATAGCGACTGCTCTCTGTGATCACTAGGGGTTATTGGGACAGACCGACCTCCGATGCGATTCAGAACAGCAATTCGTAAGCAAACCCCAGATCTAGAGACAAAACGACAGGACCGAGCTGTCCGTCGGTGCCGATCACATCCCACTAAAGTAACCGGGAGTGCCTGCATGAAAACCTACAAAAATCACCCTAGGCACCAGAGAGGACGGGGTGGGAAAAATCCTTAGAGATGGTCCCCGCCATCCCTCCAGCAGTGCTGGATAAAGCACGTACATCGCTGCAACTTTACAAATCTCATTGCAGTAACAGAAGACGACCTTTAAAAGAAGACCGGGGGATTGCCACCACGATGTCCAGACAGCACGAAATCTAGAGTGCCCAGAAAGATCTATTTCAGGTATTTTATCGTCCCAGTTCCAAATGACCCGCTCTCTGGCATTTAATGAGAGATGCGGGTGGTGGAGATTCAGCACACAGCTCCCACGTGCTCCCGATACCTTTTTTCCAAGCATCTAAGGCTTCAGGAAGGACTTTTCAGGCGAGCTGGCCCCGAGATGCTCTTTTAACCAAAATAGAAAATGATGACCTCTGGGCAGGATGCAAAGCAGACAGACGTCTGCTCCAGGCTGCTGGCTCAGCCAAGCCAAGCAAATCCTTCCACCCGGGAAATGAAAGCTGAAACGACCCCCTGCTTCGTTAGGTAGCTGTCTTCTGGATATTCCTGCTGGAGTCAGAACAGGATGTTCTTCAAATACAGATACCTTTGCCGCTGGCAGAGGAGCGGTCATCCCCGTTTACGACCGATCCGCTCAACCCACAGGAGCTGCTCTGCTTACCTGTGCCTGAGCACGCAGGGGGGCCGCACAGCAATCGGGTCCCGCTTTGCAAACCGTGCTCCGTAAGCCAGGCTGCCAAATCTCTTATGTCTGTCCCCAAAAATCTCTTTCCAAGCTGCTGTGGGTCCTAGGTCTGACCTCCATGTGTAAGTCTTCAAAGGAAGACTTTGTATCCTTCCTCAGCAGGGGAAGGATTGCCCCGGGTGGCAATCCAGCATCTAGCCCGACAACTTCAATGATTACTCAGGCTAGGGAGGGAAGGCTAAAGCTTTACGAGCCTTTCCCCTTGCCTTGCGAGCTCACAAGACTACACAAGAATAAATCCCATTGTAGTCAGGCTGCCGACCAACGCTGCCCCTGTAGAAACCACACTGGTTTTCCATTCCGTTTCAAGGGAAAGCTAAAAACGGCATGGACATTAGCCGATACCCTGCAGTCTGATCTCTCCTCAGCACTTTGGCTGGGGGGAAAAAAAAAAACCAACCAACCCACACTCATTTACAATACCCAGTGGTTCTATTTACTATTTCCTGAGCGTGGCATTCCATGTCGTCAGAAGTACATTTTGAAGCCTGAGCTGTGAGGGGGGGGAAAAAAAAGAGAAAAGAAAAAAGCTTCCGCTTGTGAAAGAAAGTGCTGAAGCCTGCTGAACAGGAGAGCTTACCCCCCATCCTCCTTCTCCTCCCAGTACAAAAGAACTTACTGGATTAGTCCTGCTTTTCTCTCCCAGCCCTTCCTCCTCTTGGATCTTTGAGAAAAGCCAGAAGAATCTGAAGTCGGTCTGTGAAAGGAGGCAGAGGCTTAACGACTATCCACCACACATCACCGATCAGCACCTGCCGAGCGTCTCCATTCCTCTGCACTTGCCTGGGAGATTTACAAACTCAGCTTCACCTGCAGAACCAGCCAACACCCCGGACTCTGCTATTTCCCCCCAATACCCCCAAAAGATGTACCCAATTATTCCGGTAGCCAGCAGCCCACAAGCTGTAAGGATGCTGGTGCTTAGATGAAATATCCATCCTACTGCATAGTGGGCTATGTGCAGTGCTGGCCGCAAAGCAGCTCATGGAACAGGGAACAAAAGGGAGGGCAGGGCAGAGGGGGCAGATTCAGTACCTGGCAGTCATAAACAGGGTGTCCTCTCCAGCACATCACATCGAGGATATAGTACGTCTGCTTTGCCTCATTGTAGATGCAGTCCAAGATGCAGTACACTGCGTGCACAAACACAGGGAGGTCCAGACACGCTCCAGAGACTGCCCGACCCAACAGGCAAACGCCAGGTCAAATCTCTCCTGCATTAAGCCTGCCCTGACGTAAGGCCGAGAGGTGCAGAGGGATCCCCTTCTGCTAACAGAAGCTGCGACCACAGAAAGCCTTTAGCTTGGAGTCCAACAAGGCTACAAAGGTACCAGCCGGAGGCACTTCAAGCAAAGGCATGTTTCAGAAAAAGGCATTTACTCAACAGTAACCCCTCCTCTGGACAAGCAAAGCAACTGCAAGAGGTATTAAGAAAGGCGGCACTGTACGCAGCTCTCTGTCGGAAGACAGTGTCTTCTTCTCTTAAGAGCGTCAGTTAACCAGGCAGCTAATTAAAATACGTTCTTATCTAGCACAAAAGTATCCGAGATTGTCCACGTCTAGTTATCCCCAGAGATGCACGAACAGGCCCAAAGCTAAGTTCCCCCCGGCACCAGAAAAGGGCACAGCTTCACGACCCGGGGAGCTGGCGGAGCAGCACCGAGCCTGCCAGCGCGCACACTCAAGGGGAGAAGCAGGCGGTTCCCCTCTCTCTATCCCAAAAGCCTCCTCGGGCCGTTACCTTTCTCGCTCGTTGAATTGTGCCGGTTCCCCCCCGGCAGCAGGGATGGGAACCTGTTGACGCAGAAGCCGCTCTTGGTGTAAGCTGCTGTTGTGCCCTGTGAGGAAATGGGAGAGAAACAAACAAAAAAGTCAAGCGAGACACACGGGCCGGTCTTATGTCGGCTGGGAAACAGGTACAGGTCCTTTACCAAACGGCGAGACATCACCACTGCTGCCGCTTACCCTGGACGCCACGACTAGCGCCCTTTTCCCGACGGGACACACCACCACAACCCACTCCTGCTCCAGATCCAAGGGGACATCGACCAGCCATTCAGACAGCATCAGCTACGGCGAAATCCAGGGGGGAAGAAAAGAAGAAGAAGGAAAAAAAAAAAAAGCGGTTAGCAACAACTCTCCTGAAGTTAGGGAAAACTCACAGCAAGAAGGTTTTGACTTGGCTTCCACAGCTACACCGGGTGCTTCAGAGGCAACTTGCATTGCTTGTCAGCCTGCATTACAGCACCAGAGGGGCTCCCTCCCTTCTCTGACCGACTTGCGTAACAGACTCTCCCCCAAGTCTTTCTCTTGCTTCCCAGCTGCTGACTAAGCTTCAGACTACAGCACGGGGCTCATAGTCCTCGCTTGGGCACCTCTGTACCTCGGTCCCCACTCCATCACTTTAAATTTATTTATAAACACATGGCAGAGCTTAGAGATTCCTAAATACTAGGAGTAAAGAGCCCAGACAAGTTGACGCCTTCAGAGACCGTCTGGCTGTGATCACCTGAAAGGCTCTATGTCATTTAGGACCAATATGGCAGCCAAGGCTGATAAAACCATCAGCTAAGGATTCCCTTCCTTTCTGGTGTCCCAGACGCGGGGAGAGATGGAAGTCTTTAACCGACTGCTGCGCAACGGGATACAAACGCTGCTAGCCGAGCTGAAATCTCCCAAAGCACACAGGCAACCCAGCTCCGCCTGTCCTCCGTTTGAACGCAGCGTGTCTCGGGGGCAGAACTGAGGCACGGTTCCTCGCTGAGCACCGAGCCAGGCAGGACACGTTATTCTCAGCCCCGACGCAGCCATCACCACGGCCGCTCACCCCGCCCGGCCCAGCCTCAACCACCCCACACCCCTCACCCTGCCCAGCATTCGCACCCGCACCCCCGTCGCGGGGAGGCAGGCAGAGGCAGGCAGCTCCTCACCTGATTGGCGTAGCGCTTGGGCAGCTTCTTGCCAGGATCCACGTCCATCTCCTCTTCCTCCGCATCTTCCCCCTCCTTCTCCTCGCCTTCGCTCTCCACCCCTGCCCAGTCGTCCTCTGCCAGCCTCCTGGCATGGTTCACGTAGTCCAGCCGCCTCCTGCGGGGGGTGAGGGGGGAAGAAACAGCCCGGCTCGCCCTCTGCGGGAGGCAGGCCGCCACCCC